ACATTAAGCAGCAAGCGCTGGGTCGAGAACTTGCTGCACCACTGAAACAAGGGTGTTTTCACGTAGATGTGCCTGAACCCGACCCCAAAGGAGTCAACATCGTTAAGACGGCCATCGAGTCACAGCTCCATAAAATTGGGGATCGGAACGGGCTCAGCCGCTCCTTGAGTGGTCTCAAGATCAACATTGCGTAAAGCTGTTCTGTTCAAATATTATCTCCATCCTCTCTGCTGCGTCGCAGAAGTCTAAGCTAGCTGATCACCGGGTGAACAAGCCATAGTTTTAATGTCTTGAACCCAAGTTACATTGGGGTATAGAAGCAAGTTCTTGCAATCTCTCGACGCAGGCTTAGCGCCGAGGAAGTTGAGTAGCCTAATTACGGCTCGAAAAATTTTCATCCATGTAAAGAAGGGAAGAAGCTGGAGATCACAAGTAATATAATTGACTCGAGAGCATCTAAAGAACCTCTCGCTAATCAGGCTCTTGAAGTTGTAACTTAAACCTACTAGTGGCATATTTCAATTTTGTAATGGAAGCATTAAATTTGTGTTGAGGACCTGATCTTATATCTGGATATGATTTGTCATCGATTAACATGTCCCTCCCATTGGCATAACTTTAATAAAGATTAATATTACATAGAGTAATTTTTGTAAGTGTGTTTTCATTTTAAACTTTCTAAATTTTTTTCAAAAATTTAAAATTTCTATAGATTTGTTTTTCATCCGTAACGAATTGAAATCGACTTGATCATCAAAAAATTTTCAGAGGATGCACTCTGGGTGTGTAGTCTTTTGCACTAACGTTGAACATATTGACACAAGATATTTAGACTAAAAACATATAGCATTTTCTATAAAAAGAGATGCATTATTTTTATCAAGCATAAGGCTACCTACCTTTAGGGTGCAAATAGTCTTGCACGCCAATGTCAATATCAACATTCTAATGTCTCTACTTTCCTAATAACTAAACTCTATGAGGGAATGCTAGAGAGTAGCACTTTTTATCTTCCTTTGACCTTTGGGTAATTTATGAAAGAGTTGGAGCTTCAACTTTGTTGGCCATCCGACAAAGGCAAGAATAAATTCTTTGCTATATCATGAGGTGTAATAATGAGACTTGATATGTAGTTGATCCACGTGCTACTCTATACTTCCATCAACGACGTCAAGTCATAACTTATCTCAAATAGTGAACCGATACTCTAAGAATATTGAAGCTTTCATGTCAAAAAAATAAAAAAGGAACAATACTACGAAGCAGCACATTGAAGCCTTCATGTCAAAAGGAATAATACTCTTAAGAATATCGAAGCCTTCATGTCTAAAAAACAAAAGAACAATACTAAGAAGCGGCACATAGACAAATGATCTTCTTGACCTTAGTGTTTGTTTTGACAGGATATTATATGCCGAAGACCAAATCTCATACCAAAGTTTTTTATAAAAAATACTCGTATATTCTCGCCCGCTACAACCAATCTCAAGTTAGTCATCTCATAAAGATCATCGTACCCTCATGTCAATTAAATATTATCCTTTAAGATATAGATCCTCAAGTTGATAGTGTCTTCAAAATGATTACATCTAGTTATATTCGTAAATTAATTACATCCTTCAAGACGGTTATATGATTAAGTCAATCATATCTTCAAAATGATCACATCCTTCAAGATGATCAAAGTTAATAATATCTTTAAAAAAATTTACATCTTAAAATCAATTACATTATCTAAGTGTCTCTCTAGCCAATTTATCCACATCTTTTTAAGATGTTTATATCCTTAAATTCATCGTCTTTAAGGGATCAGAGGATGATTGCATGCTCGTGTCAATTTCTTTTCAAGTTTGCCATACATTCAAATTGAATGTCAGCAGCACAACATAGTCAGGAAGAAACAAGAGATAAATTTGAAGCTTGACTTAATAATCAAAAGACTACTACAAATATTATTTTAAACACACTTATAGAGGCCTCTTCAGTTAGCCAAAAGCACACAAAAACAAAAAGCAAAAAAGTTGGACCCACTCAAATCGAGCAAAAAATTTTGACCCACACTCTTATCGAGTAAAAATTATTTGATCTACCCTCGTTAGACCAAAAAAAAAAGTCTAAATCACTATAATCATATAAAAATGCTCAATCTACTCTTCTTGAGCAAAATTGCCAACCCAATCTCGTTAGATCATATCAATTTTATCGCATCAGTTTGATGACCAAAATTAATCATAATAAGATTTTACTTTTAAAATATTAATTCAGGTATTTATTTTATATTTTATCTTAAATGCGTTTGATAGATTACGGTAATGTTACAAACTCCAATGTTTTATATTCAACCTTATACAAAATTGAATATATTTAAAATTAAATATATTTTTGGACGAATGCTCGAAAAAAGTCTATAACTTTGGCTTTTTTCCCTTAGAACATTCCTAATTTGAGAAATACTCAAATAATGTCCCTTGATGAATTATTTTACCTATTTAACCTTGGATAGCTAAGACTAAAGTTTTTCTATCCAAAATAAGAGTAGTAGGTTTGGACCGCAAGTTTAGTAAGACTTTATCGATCGATTCAGATTGAAATGGTTAATGCTGGCTTAATAATTTTTTTTTTGCTACGGCTGCTACAGTATATGGTGGTATTACTGTCCTTAGTATTGATAATGATATTGATGAAGAAGCAAAAAAAAAAAAATTCTTTTCTCACTTTTTATCTCTTTTTTGTCGGTCTTCTTCTTTGTTCTTCGTGTTTTTTATTTTCTTCTTGAATTAAGAATTAAAAAACATCATATAAGTATATGATCGATCATTTACTAATTATTTAGATAAGAATAAAATATGTATATATTGTGTATTCATGAATTTTGTAGTACTTAAATTATCTTTGTTACTGTTCGATCATTTAATAGTTATCTAGACACGCATATATATATATATATATATATATATATATACACACGGGCTTTCATAAAATAGTATGGTATTTAAAGCATTTTTCCTTATTTAATATTTATTATTATTAAATCTGTGAGCATGTCAAGAAATATTGCATGTATCATGGGTTTTATATTATATTTTCATGTAAACCTACTGCATAAAATATTGTATATAACTCTATTACTGTTCATTAACTTTTACCAAAAATAATATATCACATATTAGTAAAAAAAAATTTATGGATAAATTTTTAGTAGGTGTTTGGGACCTAACTAGAAGGTTAAATGTTAAAAATTATTACATGAATACAGGATATTTTTTAAAAATTAAAAAAATGGAACACTATGTAGGATATGAATAATTCTAAAAAAAATTAAAATCTCTAAAATAATAATAATAATAATAATAATAATAATAATAATAATAATAATAATAATAATAATAATAATAATAATAATAAAACACTGACATATGTCCTGTTATGCAATGCATTCATTATCTTTGGATTTTGGCTAAAATAGTATTCCACATATTAGTATAACTTTTTTATAGCCAAATGTTTACCAAGTGTTTGCACCTAATTAGAAGGTCAAATATTAAAAAAAAGATTATAGGAGTGCATGATATTTTTTTGAAAATTTAAAATAATATTTAAAATTTTAAAAATATTAACATATTAAAAAATTTTCAAATAGAAAAAAACTTTGATATATATCCATCCGGATCAAATTCAAAAGTATCCTAAAACTTTGAAGATAATTTGATAAGTCTTAGATGTATTATTTTTCTATTTTGACTAAAACTAGTGCATTGCATATTAGTAAACCTTTTCTAATGGTCAAATTTTTATTAGGCATTTAGGACATAATTAGAACATCAAATATTAAAAACTATTACATAGTGCATGACACTTTTAAGAAAATTTGAAAAAGTATTTAAAATTTATAAAATGGCACACTATATAAGATTTAAATAATTTTGAAAATAATAAATTAAATTAAATTAAAAAATAATGACATATGTCCATTTGGATCCCATTAATAGGTATTCAAAAACTTTAAGGATATTTTAATAAGTTCTAAATGTACTATTTTTAAATTTTGGTTAAAAACAATGCATCGCATATTAGTAATTTTTTTTTTATAGTCGAATTTTTAGAAGGTGTATAGGACCTATTTAGAAAATCAAATGTCAAAAAACTTACATAAGTACATGATATTTTTGTAAAAAATTTAAAAAAATTAAAAAATAAAAATGGTACAATGTGCATGAGCGAAATAATTCTAAAAATATCAAATAAATTTTTTAAATAAAAAATACTGACATATATCCATCTCGATCAAATTCAAAGACATCTCTAAAATTTTTGGATATTCTAACAAGTTCTATTCAAAGACATCTCTAAAATTTTTGGATATTTTAACAAGTTCTTAAAAATTTTATAAAAAAATAAAGAAAAATAGAAAATAACACACTACCCATAAATTTAAAATATAAAAAAATTAAAAATAAAATAAAAAACACTGACATATATCCATTCAAATCTTATTAAAAGATATCCTAACACTTTCAAGGTATTTTTAAAAAGTATTGTATTAAAAATACTTTTAATTTCATAATCTAAATTGAGATTATGGAATTAAAAATATTTTTATTGAAACTAAACTAAATTCAATTAAATTATAATTTAAAGTCGTCGCTGAAACAAAGGGACCATTGCCGGCTCAACCAACACGCCGAGGATGCGTTCGACGAAATGACCTCATGTGGACTGCGCTCCGACCCCTTCGACGCGCACACTTGCTCAAAAAGTTGCGATCTTTGCGTCCATCGTCAGCCCGCAAGCCACATCCGTTGTGGATTGAGTTTTCAGGACTAGAATTTGTGAGGGAGGAAGGAAATGGGGATTGGGGTTTGATGAGTGGGGACGAAGAGGACGAAGAAATGACATCGGAATGTAATGGAGTTCCCCGTTCTGTACCCGGCCACAGTGAGGTGTCCGTGCTTGTGGGTCTAGTTCGCATGTGGGTCCAATAGATGAGACGGAGTGTCCGTGAGGATGCCACGTATGGTGAGAAAGTTTTGAGTATCGTAAACTCCGTCCGACCGAAAGAAACTACAAATAGCCCCCCCAGACGTCGCTTCACCTCGCGCCTCAGGCGGCGATGGCTCGAAAGAGGCCGTCCGAGGCGGCGCCGGCTCCGCCGAACCTGGACTTCCGGGCGCCGGGGGATGACGCCTGGTACGAGGTGCGGCTCGCGGTGGAGGAGGACGTGGAGGGGGAGGCGGCCCTCCACGTGATGTACTGCAACTTCTCCGGGGCGTTCGACGAGCTGTACCCCGCCGATCGGTTCGCGAGCCTGAGGGAGTTGGAGGAGTTCGCGGGGAGGTTCCGGCCCACGTCGGTCCAGCTCCAGGACGAGGAGTGCCGGATGGTGGTCGAGGGCACGGAGTTCTGCGCCTCCCACACCTTCGGCGACCGCGATGTCCGGTTCTACGACGCCGTCGTCGAGTCCGTACGTGCCTCTTCAATCCCGCTTTCTCATCTCGATTCCTGTCTTATTTGCGTTCCCCTTTCTTCTCTGAGTGGGGAATCGCAGCCGCATTCCTTGTTCTTTGTTATGTGATCGAGCAAAAATCTCTTGTTGGTAATTCGTGTTCTTAAACGGTTTTGCAAATTTTGATCCCGGAATCCTTATTATTGCATCAAAGAATGGTTTTTTGCTTCTTGAACTCGCAATGTTGCATGTCGAGGTTGGCTTTTGGGGGGGATTTAGCTCCGGAGAACGTTTTTTGCTCTCTTTTTTTCACGCTGATTCGGCATGTTGCTCGTTGGTTCTCGTGATCCTGCTAATTTGGTGGTAATGATCTTTCTTTATTAGGATTTGTTGCCCTGCCAAATGTCTGGTCTATTCGATTCCTGTAAGAAACGCCTCAAACAGTGGATTGGTGTGAGTTCATCCTTTTTGTTTCTTGAATTTAAACTTCGGCAATGTAGTTTGTTTGTTTGTTTCTATGCGCTTTCATGCGCTTTGTTGGAAGCTTGTTTTCATCCTTCTATTCCTAAAAGAACAAAACTGCCATTTATTTGAATTGGACGCATAGAAAGAAGAACGCTCGGACAGTATATATCAGTCAGCTGTCTTCTCATTCTCTTTCCTTAAGCTCCCTGGAAACCTCTCCCGCTTCCTCCTTCCCTCTCCTGCTCTCGCAGTGATTGCCATCTACACATGGATTCAAACACAATTTCTATGTACGCATTTCTTCTTTATTAATTGAGTGCTTCATGCATTATTGAGCTTCTAAAAACCATATGTTAAATTTCTTGTTTGCTATTTGGATGTGCGGCGCAAGAAAATGAACTATGAATAATTCATGAAATATTTATTTATTTTTATGCTCAAATGGCAGGTCAGGCGTTCAAAGCACAGATCAGTTAATGGTGAAGCCATCTGCAACTGCACATTTGAAGTCCTCTGGAAGCATGGCCCTTTAGCTGGAGAAAGTACACCAATTAATGTGCAAGATATATGCATTATGGAGCAGAAATGGCCACAGAACCCAACACTGGACCATTTCCTGGATATTGCAAGAAATAGGTTCGATGGAAATGACAAGACTTCAAAGCAGGCGATCGATCCGGAAAGATCTCCACTTAAGCCGATGTTTGGAGAGAAAAACTATTATGCTTTCTGGATTGATAATCTTGAGAAAGATCTATCACCGATGACTATGAATGATTTCATATATGAACAGACATCCTTGTCCTCTCAAGTAGAGCTATCTTATAGTGTTTTACCAGTGATGTCTTGTAGTGGAATGGTCCTCTTAAGGACTGAGAAAGATGCCAAGAAATTACTCGACTTTCTACTTGATCCTGCTCACATTGTGGTCTCCTCCAGGGGAAGGTGAGAAGCTATCTTCTTTTTGTATAATGTTCTTGCAGACTAGAAGTTTCGTCTTATTTTTCATGCTTTGCTTACGGTGTAGATATATCTTTAACATGATTTCTAAGGATTTGTGAGTTGACTGTTCTGTTAACAGTGTGACGCTGATATCGTAAATTTTAATGACCTAAGCTTTCTATTCTACATGTTTGGTGCCTCACAACCCAACTATCTAAGCTGTTTTGTTTGTATTAAATTGGTGAGAGTTTTATGTTCAGGTCTCATGTTTTATGTTATTGGCGTTTAAATCTATGGCCTTTGAGCAAAACAAAGTCATGTTTCTGACCGATCTTTTTTCTGGTTTTTTGTAGACCCTGGTTTGTCAGAGATGATTGGTGTCGAAAATTTGAAGGCGCAATGCCGAGATATGAGGTCAGTTTTATGGTTTAATGTCGATTTAACATCGTTCCTTATGCTTTAGGTCTATTGAACTGTGCTAATGTTGTGCACGACATATGACTCTCATGTCACGCGCATGCACAATGTGACACTGAACTCATCATTCCAATGACCATCAAAGGTGTGGTCTCTTTTGATGACTCGATATAAACAAATTTAATGGCCTATACCATGACACTGTCCTAAAAATTGTAAATTTGAAGTGGATATGTGATTTGCTATCATGAAAATGAACTTTGATGTATCAAGATGATGCAAATTCAACTGTTAAGACTTTGAAAGTTTGCTTTCTACTATGTTGAGAATATGGTAACATGTCTAGGTTTTGAAATGGTAGCTCTTTTAGCACAGGTCAAAAGGTCAAACAGAGTTCAACAAGCCTCGAGCAAATTGAAGTTGGCGTACAGGGGAACCAAAGAATACGAAAGAGCCAAGGAATTGCAAGGCCTACGTTGCGAGTTTCACAACCATTTAGAGTGCATATACCGAAGACTGGAATCAGAGGAGAGAATACTTCTAACCGGGAGAGAATGAGATTTAAGTTACCAATAGCTTCTTGATGGTTTCACCAAGCGTTTTGCAATGTTTTGATGATTGGATTGTGAAGATACCGATGATGGCCTGTGAATCTCTAATATTATATTTGATTGTATTATTGCAAAATCGTGCTAACATACTTGGTTTGTTTTCTCATGTTATTTCGCTGATCAGCGAATTCATGAGCTTGTATGTGTTGGAACCCAAGCAATGCAACCCTACTAGTTTTTTGTTGCCAAATCCACCATGGAACAGGAGACGCATGAGTTGATTTCGTTACCTGTTGAGAAATCCACCATGAAGAAGGGGAAAGGTTTGGAATGACAGCCAGTCATCATGCACGAATCAATAAAAAGTTCGCAGAAGCAATGGTTTGTTGATGTACGTACCCAAGTGGTGCCTGGAAAACAAAATGAAAAAATGGCTCCTGTTGGCCACTCTAATGGACAAATTAGCCAAAAATCATGTCAGAGAAGAAATAAAGAGATCACTCACCTCATCAATCCCAGTCTCAAAGTGCAGCAAGTAGAATGGTCTCTGCAGCTGAACTTGTGTTGACTTGAGATCATCTGACAACATACACAGGAAAACATGGTAACATGGCAACAGTAAGAGGAATCTGAGAGAAGAATCCCTAAAGCTTATTGGTACCCTCACAACTAATGATGAAGGCCTACGAGAAAATTATAATTGAGTTCATATATTCAACTACATAAAAGCAGCTACTGCTACTTTCAAACTTTGGTATCAACATTTCATGTAAAGCTCATAGGCACTTGGAGATTTGGAATTACATAAATGAATAACGATGTAGGTATAAACTAATTTGTTGAAGATAATTTGAAGGACACCCAGATATTGAAATTTATGGACATCCAGCTGTGAACTTTATTGATGAAATATAAGTTAAAGAGGAACAATACCTCTTGCCTAAACAGTACATGCACATTCTCTTTCTTAAAGTCAGGTTGGAAGATTTATGCTAAAATATAGGAAAAATACAATACTACATGAAGGATGTTTGGTAGGCCTTCTTCCCCTGAAGATGACAAATGCATACTTGAATTGTCCTGCAATCACACAGTTAATTCATCCACAACCATGGCTCACCAGACAAACTACTACAAAAGTTCTGTAAAATATAAGTTGGTCTATAAAGAGGAAATATACATATGACGAAAGACTTGTAAATTGATTACAGACTTGGTTCACAACAATGAACGCATCAATCCTGCATGAGACCTGCAAATGGGATAAACATGATGATGCAATGGTCAAATGAAGTTTCACATTCATAATGATACATTAGCCTACTAATTTCCTTTAGTTGCAAAGTAGAATTTAATGAAGAACGAAATCACTAGTTAAAGTCTGCAAACTATAAAACAATGGAGCAATTGACACATGAATATGAACCCTAAATTACATATTTACACCTCCATAGTAGCTATGCCATTGTAAACAAACCCTAAATTACACCCATGTCATCAAGTTTCATTACTTTTCATTGCTTTAGTTCTTATTGATGTTGGCTATATAGAGGGTTTATATTAGCCAAAATTCAAAATATTCAAATTCCCTCATCCTATTTATACATGTTCCAATTTTTCCCAATCACTAAAAATCAAAGAAGAGGAACATAATAAGGAGAAACGAGAGGAAGGTATGGAGAGAACAGGAGAAGAGAAAGAGGAAGGAAAGAGACATGGTAGTGCATGGAAAGAAGAATGGCTACTAATAAAAAGATAATTTTTTTTGGTCAACGATCATTATTGAAACTGCTACGTTTGTTGCACTTGTCAAAACATAACAGGTTTATACATACAATATATTTAAAATTTTTAAAATTTATATATGAAACTATTATCATCCGGAAGGCTCAAAATGCAATTTTTATTTAACAATAAAACATAAAGTTTCCACTAACAATAAAAACAAGAAAAGATAAGAAGAGTAAAAGCTTCTAGTCTAAAAACATTGTCCCACCTATCTCTGTGTTTCAGTTTTTCTTTTACCTTATACATTGTTTAAATTTCATAATCTTCATCATAAATTATCCTTTTCTTCTTTTTGTTTAGTAATACAGGAAATTTCTACCTAATAGTCTTTGGATGGTAGCACGTCCAACCTCAATAAGAGCAGAACTTATCTTAGACACACTTCAGTGTATTCTATGTATAAATTTTTAATTTTCTGAATTCTGGCTTGCTAAAACTTCTGGACTTGACGACACATACAAGTCGCTTTTTTTAGTACTCGCACATAAATAAATGACACTGGATGTTACAGAATATACAAGACATTCATACAAGTATATTTTTCATGTTTCAGTTAACAAAATGATGTTCGACATTACTAGCCAATGGAATTCAGCATGCTTGTGTTCCTAAATATTCTCCCACAGAAGTGATCAAGAGATACTGAACCTTACCAAACTTGAAAATGCTTACACGAGCTCTAAGACAAGTGCAGAAGCCCCCCCACCACCATTGCAAACACCAGCAACTCCAATTGTGCCACTTCTATGTCTCAGAACCTGTTAATATAGACAAAGTTCATAAGTGTCCCTTCTTAATACCAAATATATGTACGTGACTAGAAAAAAAAATTCTGTGATAGAAGCCCAGAAAGCTCATGGGTGTTCTTTTCTGATAGCTACCACAATTAAATTAAAAAAAAAACACAATTAAATTATTAGTATCTGAAAGTTATTATAATTATACATAGAAGAAAATTACAATTACTGATGTTACAAGAGGCATATTAAGAAATGAGAATATAATGTCAATTCAAGCTGCGAAACATACCCCCAGCAAGGTAACCAGAATACGAGCTCCACTGCAACCTAGAGGGTGCCCCAAGGACACAGCTCCACCATGCACATTCACTCTCTCCTGCACAGAAGCATTAGACAAAATAAGCCATTCAATGATGCAACATATAACTAATCCCTAGATGAATCTAAGAAGGGTAAAATGAAGCAACAGTAGTTGACTGGCCAATGTTGCTGGCACAGATTTTCAAAAGAAAATAAAAGCTAATGGTCAAAAGGAACCATGGTCCAAACACGAGGCAAACAATTAAGCTTACAGAAGGAAGTGAGAGAAGCTTCTGATTTGCTAGGGCAACAACCTACAAATAAAGACAACATTTTAGGCTGCAGGTAACGTGAAAAAAGAGGCAGGAGAAGAAGTTAAATATACTTGAAATCTGTAGACCCATACTTACAGAGAAAGCTTCATTAATTTCATAATAATCTACTTGAGAAGCCTCCAAGCCAGCACTTGAAATAGCTTTCGGAATTGCAAGTGCGGGTGTTGTTGTGAATAATTCAGGGGCCTGCATAAGAAATATCAATATCCTTTTATCATAGCAAAACCTTTTTAAATAAAAAAGGGGCATCTACATAATTACATATTTCCGCAAGTTCTCAAACATGGAGAGAGCACCCATGATATGCATTAAATATGAAAAAGGAGTTTCTGATTTCTCTGTCTATACCTGAGCAGCATCAGCATATCCTCTGATCTTTGCAACCACTTGCAATCCTAATTCAAGAGCCTTCTCCCCGCTTACAAGTACCAAGGCAGCAGCACCATCACTACAGCACAGATATTTGATCAGAAATTAGATGCCAAATTATATCTAGTAAAGTTCATAAACTTATATCACAATGAGTTAAAACTCAGAATATGCATGAACTACAACAAGTGACAATCAGATATAACATATTTATACAACATCACATAAAAAGAGAGAAAGAACTTTGGCCAATATGTTAATTATGCATATAGAGTAAAATGTGCAATTTACTAGCTATCAGCAAACAAATATTAGTAGTTGGTGGAAATTCATAACATCACTTAACCCAAGTTTCAAATCTAGCAAATGACCCAAAAGAACAACAAACAGCACCCAAACAGTAGCACGTCTACTGAGTTTAGATAGTAAGGTCTTCATGAAACTAAACATTTTTAAAAAAAGGTAATGAACTAAAACATGCTATAAATAACAATTCATCTTTTAGCAAATAAGAAAAGGCACAAGTATTTTAGCCCTTAGAAGTAGAACAGACATCATAACATTGATTTATTACCCACATGATAATTGAGATACAATCTACAAATAAGAAAAAAGATGGCAGAGCGTCATGGCAAAAAAAAAAACATAATCTAAATCATCAAGAAGATTCTAGTTACAGATATATCACATCAAGGAAAATGGACCAAAATTTGGATTGCTTGTTTCAGTCTTTACTCAGAGGCAACAATAAATGACAAAAATGGGTACAATTAGAGTACCTTATACTAGATGCATTTCCAGCTGTCACTGTACCACCATTCTCCTTGAAACTTGGTCGAAGCTTCCTTAGTTTTACAGGATCAAACTAGCCAAATTTAAGAAAAAAATATTCTTATTATGACAGTCATTGGAAAATTTACACAAAACAGATCTGGCATCCAATTGTAAAACCATCCTATTATTTCTAAAAGGTAAAAGAAAAAAGATAAGAAACTATGCCTAAATATGTACAGTTAAAAAGAAGTGAAGAACAATCATTTCCTTATTTCAACTTCTTTGCCTTCAAGCAGAGATTTTGCTTACTGAGCCTGTTTTTCTAAATCAATTTTCTTTATTCTTTTTAATGATAGAATTGCTTCAAAGGGATTAACATAATAAGCTTATGTTAGCAAAATAGACTACAAAGTCTCATTATCCCTATATTCTTAATTTGGTCACACCGGCGGAATTTAATCACTGGTTGTCACCTAATATGAGATAAATGATTATTGATGCAAAACACATCCATTTTTAACAAAAAAATAAAATTATTTTCAGCTGTAACTGGTCACATTCATATTTTGTACAAGTGCAGTGACTTACCTAATTCTTGCTTACATGTAAATTAAGACAGAAGCTATAAAATTCTAACAATGCCAAAAGTTGATAAATAAGCATTTTCTTTCCACTGGCATGATTAATTGGCCATGGATCATGTTAGAGTTATTTGAGTATTCAACATTCTAACAGAGATATTGTGCTTCAATTTTCTTGCACTAGTTGTGGAGGCCCATAAGTTGTTTACATAACAAGCTTAACTATGTAGAGCTTCTCTCAACTAATAAAGGAAATGGATTCCACAACTGCACTACAAAGCATGTAAAATGTTGCCTTGCATTTGAATGTATTTGGCCCCACTTCTTAAGAATCTTACTTTTTCAAGACTTTCATCCTTGTCAATAACTACTGATGGCTTTCCTCTGCCTGCAGAAACTTCAACCTGCAAAGCATGATAACAAGCATCCTTAGTAAACTTTTGACCGGTAGATTTCCAGTCCCATTTATCAGAAAGAGAGAATTCTAACTGGAGCAATTTCCCATGTGAAGGCACCACTGTCCCGAGCAGCTATTCCACGCTCATTGCTCTTAATAGCATAAGCATCCTAAAGAAGCATAAGGGAAAAAAGGTCACACTTAGATGAAATTTAGATGTATAAGATGGATCATATAATCATATTATTTAGTTGGAAGTAACTAAAACATACCACCAAGTAAGGACAAGTCAGGCATCCAATTAACTCTAGTGTCTAGAGTTGTTTAAAATTGGCAAGATTTTGAGCCAACCCTGCTAAACTATCATCTTGACCATATAGTGATCTTAGAGACAGTGGACAAGTTAACAGAAAAGGTAAAAATGAATGTGTCACATTCTAGACATATTAGAAGATAGTTAATTTTTTGGCTCTTGGATAACAAAAAAACCACTTAATCCTAAGAAAGTATGAAACAAAGTTAAATATAGTTCCTACAAATGATTATATTATTAAGTATAGATGAAATAATATCTTATTAAAAGAGATAATAAGAAAAAGATGTGTGAGATCAGTATCTCAGAGCCAAGGATTTATGCTGTAGTAATCCACAGAAATGTACAGAATAAGACATCAAACAGCAAATAGGCTATCTGATTAGGAATGCCAGCTGCTCACCACTTGTTCTGGGTGGACGTCCCTGCAATGTGTCCAGCCCAGTTTTGGTGGAAAGCTTGGCCCTTTGGGAAGGTTTAAAGAGAGCTCAGTCAATGCCAATCTCCAGAATTCTAATAGTACTTGATGCTCAGCAGATCATTAATTTTGTCAAAGGAGCTGCTGAGGTTCCTTGGTTTCTTGAGGCTTCCATTTCCAATATCTGAAGCCTGCTTAATTAATTATCTACTGTTGACTTCTCTCACCTGTCTAGAGAGCTCAACTATGTTGCTGATAGGCTTGCTGTTTTTGGTAAAACCCACAGCCCATCCATCTTTTGTAATGCAGCTGATCCTGCTGCTATTCAGTTTTTGAAGTAATAGCATTTACAGTTTTCCTTTTCAAAAAAAGCAAATAGGTAAAAGGTTAGAAATATTTTGGATTTTGGATAAACAACAACCACTAAGCATATCTGACCTGTCCTATATTGGAGAAACTGATAGTGATGGTTGTAACTATGATAAATGGAATAGCATGTTAGCGTCAGGTAAGCCAAAGCACGTGAATAAGCTAGATCAAGCCAACCTAGCAAGTTAATTCATTAACCCATACTGACCCATCCTCTCATAACTCACCCACAGATCAGGAATTTCAGATTGTAAAAATTTACTTATGCAATTTATCTTTTTAATAACCGCAAGAGAATATAACGGAGTGTAATATCAAGATTCTTAAAAAAGAGAGGTCAACTATTGAAATACAACTTTTGATATTTTTAGAGGAGCCTTCAGCTTTCTTGAAGCAGTTCCATTCCCATTTGGCCTTAGAACTGATAGAATTAAATCTTGTTGGCCCACAATTTATCTGTTATATACATATTCCACCATGGCCTGCTTATTGAATATATTCATCTCTGAATATTGCTAAAAGTTTTCTTGTGTTCCTTCATTTAGAATATGACTTGACTGGAATCTACAAGAGTTACTAAAACAAAAACCTTCCACTTGCTTACTATGTTAGTAATGTCACCTGTTGACCACCAATATGTTTTCCCACCACATTTCATCGCCGTAAACTCCAGGACTCATGTATTTTACTTATCAGCATATTTCTGGTGTTCTGTCTTTCTATTATCATCTTATTTATTCTCCATATGTTTCAGGAATTCTAGAAAACTTGTTTTGCAATCCAGCACAAGCCAAAACAGGCTCATCTTATTTACTATGACACCTGAATTTGTTACTTTAGCACTTACCTAATGAACATTAAAAGTTAGGAACACTTCAGAAAAAAAAGATCATTTGAAACATTCAACTGTACATGTTGCCATGGAATTTATAGGATTACAAGATCTCTGTTACTCTATATGTTAATACAATCAAAATTTTACATCACAAACATGATCACATGCAAGTCCTATAAAAGAAAAGATATAGAATAGCCAATTATAATTTCTCTGGTAAAAATTTGTTCAAACTTCTTGAACTTCTTACAAAATAATAAAAAATATATATACGTAAGAAACAGGATATATGCTTCTCAAGAAAGAATGCATCTAAGAATCTCACCTGTTCTTCTCTTGTTATTGAATGATGAACGGCACATAATTCAGCACAATTTCCCATGGCAAAGTCATTATATACATCCCATAAACCATCCTTAAGCATCCCATCAACAATAGTATCATGACCAAATCGAGATCCTTTTCTGCATATTTACAGATTGCAGAATAATTATTGGAGCCAAGATTAGTCATATTAAGGCTAACTAATACCTGCTATTCCTTTAAACCAAATTGAGTAAAAGTTTTGCCACAATAGCAACAGTGCCAGATTAAGATCAAGAATGTAATTTGTTCAGGTCTAAATGCAACTCCTATGACTTCTAATACAGAGAAGCTCTACATGCCAATTCATACATCCCATCTTTCTGTCACTATAAGTGTATATGTCTACATAAGATCAAATGATGTCTAGCACAGGTTAACACTGCACGAGTTGATGATAGAACCAAAGAACATGGTAAAGAGCATGGAAGGAGGTTGTGAGACCCACATATCTGACCCATGCCCAACCATATTTTTAAACCTGGAATAAAAGTTCTGAAGAAGAAACATCTGAGAATTTAATATAATATTTTTCTTTTTTGTTCTATGATTCTCATATACCATCTTTCACAGAAACAGTATATGTAAGAGACATCCCTTATTAAAAGAATCAATACGTTATATTTAGTGATTTCCCTGTTTGTCATACAACACCTAGAGGTAGTTCAGAAAACATTATTAGCATTCCTCAACATTAGCAAATTATGGAAAAGCAAATTTATACATAAAAGAAAAAAGTAAATGCAACAGAGGCCTAACACCTTGCTTCTGCAATATACTTGGGGGCATTCGACATGCTTTCCATGCCACCAGCTACAACTATATCATTAATACCCAGCTGGATACTTTGTGCTGCCAGCATTGCAGCTGCAATTCAAAAATATAAATATGTTATTCATGACAATTGTCAAAGCTGTATACTAAATATGATTAATTATACCCTTCATTCCAGATGCACAAACTTTGTTTATGGTGGTGCAGACAACTGTATTTGGTATTCCAGCGCCGAGAGCAGCCTGCCTAGCAGGAGCTTGACCAAGATTCGCACTCAGGACATTGCCAAAAAAGACTTCTTGTACAAGTGCTGGATCAAGGTTTGCCCTTGCAAGAGCATCTATGTAATCAGGACAATATTTCAGTAGGTCCAACACGTAAAGAAAGTAGAGAAAACAAAAAGGTCAGAGAAAAATTAGCTTTGATCATACGCTTGATTGCAATAGACCCAAGTTGTGTTGCAGACAAAGAAGACAGAGCACCAAGAAACCCACCCATAGGCGTACGCGCAATACCGACAACACATACATCTGCCCACAAGATGAAAGCAACAAAAACAAGATATAAATGTCACTCACAGGTATAAGGACCAATCGATCCCCTGACATATGCACATACAACACATACACACACGTATCACATATTATATATATATATATATATATATATATATATATATATGTCAAAATTAGCATACTCATACACTCTTAAGAGACTACCTGAAGGTTACATCAGTTAGTTTGATCTCTTTGCCTCTATCCAAGCAATGGGCGTACTTATATAAGTCAAGCAATACATACTAGTTTTTGTTGCACAAATTGCAAGTGACCCTTTGTCCTCTGACCAAAAAGTATCTGTTTTGGCCAAGTAATCAGTTTTTTTCTTACTTTAAAAACATCAATCGTAAAAGTTGCTCAGTTGATGAGGGTTTTCCATATATCTACACAAGTTCTTATTATATATTTAGCCCCTAAAAACTTATATATCATGAAGCAGGCTAGAATCTTGTATTCCATTATTGTTAATTAAGACTCATTAAGTACGTAGGATCAGTACTCCGCAAATGACAGTACTATGGGATCTATCTACCGTCAATGATCGAAGTACTTTATCATTATATAATAGAAAGAAAAAACAAAAGATGAATGCAGAACATTGGAGCTCAAACTACAGCAGGAATAATACATAATACGCAAAGCACGTATACTATCTTTTCACGCAAGTTGTGCATCCTACAAATCCTGAAGCATAAAACATCAAGTTTCGCTTGCACCTACTAAAAGACTAAAAGGAGATTTTGTTCAGCGAAAGGTCACATACTGAATCCCTGATTCATCTAATGGTGGTTTGCATCATGACTCCGGCCAAATTTTTTTTAAGAAAGCTAAGAGAAATACTTTACAAAAATAAAATGTTTTCAACAGCGTATTAAGTATCAAAACTGGTGTTTGATAGATTTATACCTCTTGGCTTTATCTGCTCTGAAGCCATTTTATGATGCCGTGAAAAAATCCAAAACGCGACCAACTAAGCAGCCTAGCAAAAAAAGGAAGCCAAAAAAAAAGGTCAAAGATCAACGTATGACTGATGATCAGGACAAGCACCACAATTTATTAATGCAAGAAAGAGTCCCAGGAAACCAACTAAAAGCAATATATTAACATACAGAAATCTTTGGGGAAAATAGTCTAAAACGAAGAGACAAGCGAAAGGCACGAATCGATTTACCAAACGAATCTCAGTCGGGAAACTTCGAACAGAAGGAAAGAGAGGATCAAGAATCAGTATTCTCCTCCTGACACCGCACGATAACAGATCGAAAGGGCAAAGAAACAAAAAAAAAACAGATTAGATCGCGGCCTAGATAGAGAACGGACGGTGCTATGGAGGAAAAGAGAAGGGATCGATCGGGGTTTGGTGGAAGAGGATACGACGCGAGAGGGGAGGAGGAGCTCACCTGCCGCTCCTCCGGTTATTTCCGGGCCACTCCTTGCAATGGGAAGAGAGAGCGGAAAAGACGCAATGAAGGCTTACAAATAGTGGGTCGGTGCGGAGTACATTGCATCATTGTTTTCACATTTGCACCCCACGCATCTTATAATTACAAAATAGGGACGGAGTTATTGGTTTCTAATTAAGGATTAGTTAGCAGCTGATTTGGCCGCTGGTTGGTGACGTCATCAAATTAGTTTTTGTTTAACAAATAAAAAACAGTTCTTACATCTCTATCCTTTCAAAAATTTGACAATAGCATAGTTATATTTTCAAAATTTTAATATATATATATATATATATATATATAGATTTTATGCTATCTTAAACTCATTTAGAATGAAGATGTTATATGCATCCTGTAATATTTTTTATTTTTAAAGTATTTATGATATTATATTTTTTTATATTAAGTGATTTTATATTGGAGGATTAATGTTAGGGATCTCATTATGAATATTAGAATTTGGATATGACTTGTGAAAGTTTATGTGTTAAGTAGATGAGAAAAATATGAAAATAAAAGAGAAAAAAAAGAGAAAGTGAAATATACATGTGTCACTAGCTAAATAAAAGAGTGTCACCCATCCTTGCTAAATTGTTAACACCTATGCCTCATTATTATGTGCTTGTCACATTGTGATATCTTGTATTACTTAAATACTTGTAATTAAAGAGAAAAAATAAAAACAAAAAATTATCAAGTTAGAACATCGCTGCCCTCTACTAGTGTAAAGGAATAAATGAAAGGGAGGAAAAGGAAGTAAAATATTCTTATCTTAGCTTGAGGATTTTGGACTAGTTCAACACTTTTGACAATTAGCTTTTTTTAAGACAAATATTTTATCTCATGTTTCTTATTTTCATATTTATGGATAATTTATAAAGCTTCACCAATTTCAGATAGTATCAACCTCAATTGAGTTATAAACTTATAATACTGAAATCTTAAGAATTTTGACCTATCTATTTTTTTTTAATTATAATATTTTATATGAAACTTAAATTGAGTAAACTCTATTTTATTTAAAACTAAATTCTCATATCTTTTTGTCAATGTGAATGATGTGAAATATAATTGTCTATCCAAATATTTATTTTAATTAATATCTTGAATTCTATAAAATATAGATAAAATAATTTGATCTATTTGTCTTGTTTTGATTATAGTATTTTGTATAATATTCTAAATTAAGTAAAAAAAATTGATATAAATTAGACTCTTATATCTTTCATTTAGTACCCTTTCAAATGATTTAAAGTAAAGATCATGAGCATACACTAAAGATTATTATAATTTGAAGTAATATATTAAGAATCTCTAAAAAAAGAAGCTTAATTATTATATACATAGGGTTTGAGAATCTTGCCTAAGACCGTGAGGGTCCTGCCTCCGACAAGACGATATCCCTCATCACGGTGACTTTGACCCTTCATTAGAAGGGGAAGAAATGGAAGCTAATATCAAAGGTGGTGATGGGACCGAAGAACTTATGACCAAATGTTAAAGATAAGCTTGATGAGGATGTCATTTAAACCTATTAAAACGTTGAGATGAGTATTCTGAGGGCAAAAGAAGACCTGAAAGCTTCGAACAAGTTTGAGGGTCAAAGGGTTTCGAGAAAATTTGAAAATGTGATGGGCATTAATGGCCCGGGAGGTATTTATAGTGCTTGAATGATATTTCATCTAATTATCTCATTGGGCAATGTATCGGCTAATAAGATATATGGGTGATACTGTTCTATTGGTTGGGGATGATCGACTGAAATCATTGTAATTCTTCAAATCCCGAATGGTGCACATAAGCCATATATGAATGCTCCTAGAGACACTATATTTGTAGCGTGACAATCAAAACTATAGCTTCGATCAACTGTATCAGGTAGCCAAATCGATGCACCCGTCGAAAATTGAGGTAAGATCGATGCACATAGGTCTACATGTCACAATCCCATGAGGAGAGAGAGGATGAGGCGCCCGTCAAAGATTCGGACACTCACCTTAGACATTGAGCTAATCAACTAAAAGATCGAGAGATACATTTTTCGACCCAAGAGCTAATTATCCAAATGTTATCACTTGAGCTTTTGAAATGATGAACATCACGCCACACCTTTTCTTAAAAGGTCACACGATCTCCTCTCACAATCAACAATCTCGGATGTAGCCATGCTCGAACCACATATCAAAGGGACTAACCCTAAGATATACATTTTATACATTCACTTCTTCGAGTTCACTAACTAGTCTAAAAGTCCGACTAGTCTCGAATTTCTAGTTACAGGAGTTGAGTTGATCGTCAGAATAACATTTATAGGTAATGTCTCCGACTCAGTCATGTAGGGGCGGTGCATTGGGATCGTAACGTCTTAGAACGAGTTATGAATGGATCCAACTAATATCTTTAGCTGGACCATCAAAATTTAACTTAAAAATATTCTTTCTCTTAAGTTTGATTTTCTAAGGTAGCAAGAGTCTAAGAGTCGTCCATAAAAAGATATTTGTCATAACTATTAATTTTTTAGGAATGATTTTTATTCTGATTCTACTAACTTGATTAATCTGTTGGATGAGTTTCTATCATTCTGTAACGATGTCACGGTTGAGCATCAAGGAAGAAGTGAAAACTTCTATAAACAAAATAATTGTCTTCCAACTTTGATTTGTTTTGGAATGTACACAAGAAAATCCAGCCAAAAGAAAAAAAATATTAGTGTATGTAGGAACCTACCAAGTCCTTTTACTACCGTCAGCATACAAATCATCTTAGTATCAGATTAAACTAGAAAGTATAACTCCTCTCGGTCCTCCAAAAATAATTTTATTTGGATGACTCAGTAAAATTGACCAACCAATTAATCATTCAAATGTCTTCTCTAAAGACATGTTGAATATGTATCAAACATTTATAATAAAAAGTATATTTGATTATACTCAAAACATTTAATGAAGTTGATGTATGTGAAACAATGTCTCCAAATTATATTCTATTTGTTTCATCACTACAAATCAGCGTTGAATGAAGTTGATAGTACAATTACTCCTTTAACTTAGATCTAACCGAGTAAATTAATGTGAAGGTCGACACGATGTTGGATTTTACTACAAATCTCAGTAATCGAGATGTTTATTGAGTATTTACTGAGCTAGAAATCTTAAAATAGGGAGAGACATGTAAAGTGTAGCTTCCTAAAGATGATGATAATTTTGTATCTTCATATGCTTAGAATTGATAATAAATCAAAAAAATAAAAAACCGTAACGTCCAATCATATGATATATAATTAATAAGTATTTGATACGAGAAATATAACAAGTGATAGGACAATTAACAGTAAAAACAAATACTCAATCAACAACCAAACCACATGAATAATATATCAAAATAACAATTCAAGTTGGATTTTATCCCTTCTATATGTATTACAAAATATTTTTCTTACTTGACTTGCTATAAAAGGTTACGTTAGGCATGGTAATCAATATCAGTTGTCATTTATTAAAATTATTTAAATTTTGTCATGTCGAATAGACTATGTCGATAACTCACTCGATATTGATCTTTGTATATATCGATCGTAAAACCAGCATCAAACAATTATCAATTTATGAGTGAATGTTGAATAGTTGATTCGGATATTACTAATATTATTTTATCAACCCTCAACGCTAGATTGACCATGATGATATAGTAAGCATGATACTGATAAGGATGACATACCACCTAAGCATATCTACTTAACAATCTTGGGAAAAAAATATTCTTTGTTAATATCCCACCTCATGGCCTATCACTAAGAATGCAAACCTAAGAAACTTCAGTTTTACGAGATCGTTCGACTCCACTCTTTTAAGAGAGGTGAGAGGAGGAAGAGAAGCTCTTTGGCTGAGGTTATCACGTGTATCACATGTGCGGGATAAACAAGTAGTAGTTGAATTAGATCACCGTATCGGTGTCCCCGTACAGCCTCGGTGATCCACTCACTGCTGTAATCCCCAAAACAGCAAATCATAAAACAACATATAGTGACCGTTCGATATTATCACCTGATAAAATGAACGGTAAGGATAATGTAGTTATAAACTTTACGTTATGGTCTGACAGCTAATCAACCCACAGATCTACTGTAGCGGCGACTCGGTCCCCGGAAGAGTGTCATCCATCAGACCGTGAATGCTCCGCGGAAATCTTTTAACTATCCAGATCCATTGCATCATCGAAACATGGACGGCCAGACGCGACGCAAATGATCATGGAGCAACTTAGTTGAATCAGTCCGGACGATCATTGGAAGCGCTGTCGCTTTTTAACGAGAGAACCAAAAAAATAAAGAGAAGCAGCTTCTTCTCTTTTTCCTGCCTTTGGTAAGCACTCGAAGATTAGGGTTTTGTTGCTGCATTCGGGTTGGAAAACCTAGCCGGAGATATTCTTTCCACCGATGGAGCACGGTGGCGATGGCCACGGCGGAGGCGCCGGAGGTGGAGGGTTCCACCGCAACGAGGCGATATCGGCCGTCCAGGACGAGGAGCAGTTCTACGGGGAGGACGACGACTACGACGACCTCTACAGCGACGTCAACGTTGGCGACGGGTTCCACCAGAACTTCCAGGGTGGCGATGACGCGGAGGGTTTTCAGGCCGGGGACGAGCGGCGGAGCGAACCCCAACCGCCGCCGCCCCCACCGTTGCCTATACCGGCGCCGCAGCAGCCGGTGGCAGAGACGTCCGAGAGGGTCCAGATCCCGGGCATCGCCGGGGAGCCGAAGATCGAGCGGGTTGCTGATAGATCCGCCGGTTTCCAGGACCCGGGGTTCAGGGGAGGCGCCGAGCCGACGGTTGGGGTCAGACAGGCGGCACCGCTACCTCCACCGCCGATGCCGGTGGTGACGGGTGCAGGTAGGACTGACCTAGGCCAGGCTTCCGGTAGTTTTAGCCAGATCCAGAGCAATAATCGGAACAATAGCTTCCCAAATGAGGGCTTTCAGAGACAAGGAGGTGGCTTTGGGAACGAGGGTTTCCAGAGGCAAGGAGGTGGTGGAAGCGTAGTTGTACCTGCAGGTAACGCGAATGGTGGAGGGGACGCAGGTGGCGGTGGCGGAGCTGGAGCAGGGGTTGGTGGGACTACACTTTTCGTTGGTGAACTCCATTGGTGGACGACTGATGCAGATCTTGAAGAAGAACTCTGCAAATATGGGCAGGTAAAAGAAGTGAAATTTTTTGATGAGAGGGCGAGCGGAAAATCAAAAGGATACTGTCAGGTTGACTTCTATGATTCAATGGCTGCATCTGCCTGCATGGACGGTATGAATGGGCATATTTTCAATGGAAGACCTTGCGTTGTTGCTTTGGCTTCACCGTACACTGTTCGGCGAATGGGTGAGAACCAAGTGAACAAGAACCAGCAGGCAATGGGCCAGTCCCAGCCGCCAGCACCTGCACAGAAGGGTAGGGGAGGTAGCGGGTCTTCAGCTGGTGGCAATTTTGGACGTGGAGGAGGTGTCGGCGGTGGCAGTGGTGGAAATTGGGGAAAAGGTGGTGGAATGGGGAACCGAGGGCAAATGGGTAATATGAGGAACAGAATGGGTCCCCTCGGTGGAAGGGGTATCATGGGTAATGGTGGGATGGTTGCCCCACCACCGCCTGTGTTGCATCCTGGAGCTATGCTCGGTCAAGGGTTTGATCCCATGGGCTATGGAGCAGCAATGGGTAGAATGGGTGCTGGCTTTGGAGGCTTCCCTGCAGGTGCTGCTGGTGCTCCTTTTCCTGGAATGATGCCTTCGTTCCCACCTGTTGTGGCTCCACATGTCAATCCAGCTTTTTTTGGGAGGGGACTGGCACCTGGTGGCGTTGGTATGTGGTCTGATCCGAACATGGGTGGATGGGGAGGTGAAGATCAGTCAAGCTATGGGGAGGATGCTACCTCAGATCAGCAGTATGGAGAAGGGAGCCATGGGAAGGATAGGATGGCTGAGAGGGATCGTTATGGTGCTCCAGAGAGAAGACATGAAAAGGAGAAAGATATGGGTTCTGGACAGGAGTGGCCAGAGAGAAGACACCGTGATGAGAAGGAGAGAGAGACAGGGAGAGATAAGGAACCGGGCCGGGAGAGGGACAGAGAGCGTGAAAGGGAGAGGGACAGGGAAAGAGACAGGGAAAGGGAGCGGGAACTTGATCGTGAACGTGACAGGTATCGAGATGACAGAGACAGACATGGTGATCACTATAGACACAGGGATCGTGAGCCAGAGCGTGATGATGACTGGGCTAGAGGAAGATCATCTAGGCCTCGCAGCAAGTCACACGAGGTTGAACATTCAAAGAGGCGTCGGCCATCACATGAATGATTTAGGTCCTTTGCAGCTTTCTCAAAACAGGAAGATGTTATCAAGATGAATCATATGTTTCAGTAGCTGCTTTTACTTCAAGTTCAAGATACTTCTGGTTGAGAATTCCTGCAAGGGCCCTGCTTAGTCATCTGACTGAAGAAGTAAGCTAGCTTTCTTTTTGTTTCTATTTCTCAATGTTTATGGTATCCATGCAATACTTTGATAGGTGATACACTTCAGCAACACATAACTTTCAGGTAATGTTTTTTTTTATCATATCCTGATTGTGTAATGGAACTATTAGTTCGAGTTGCTTGACTATTAGTGTTTTTTGTTATTAAAGCAATTGAGGCATGATATGCTGAAAGTCTTGGTGCCTGAGTTTCACTAGAACAATAAGAACAAAAATATTGTTCTAGTTTATTTCTTGTAAAAGCATATATCGCTGGCTAACGTATTTCATACATTACATTTCCTGCTGCCTTTGTGTTCTTTCTTCGACCGCGAAAGAGTTTGGGTTCCTGGTGCCATCTAGAATGGAAGTCCTGTTTCACTCTTTTTCAGCCTTGGGTTCGAGCAAATAGGTTAGTTTTCAAGCCATTTGCTCTCTGATCAAGCCTTCAGTTGTACCTTTCCCAGTTGGAGTTACAGTTGCTGCAGTCCTTAGGGAAAGTAGTTTTCAAGCTTTGTTAGTATGACTACAAATTCTTTTCATATCTTCTTTATAAATATAGTCAATTTCTCCATTTAATGGAACCTCTTTGTCAACTTATTAATAGCATTATTGTCAAATACCCTACATGACCACCCTGAACGCATCAAGAATCCTGATATTTCCATCAAATATTTCTCAAGATGTGACAATGTTAACAGACAAGTACTGTAACTCATGGTGGTGTTCACTATGCTCTCAAACTTTATACATGTGCTAGGTATATGGGTGACCAACTTGGACTTGTATACTTAGGACTGCAGGCACAACATATATGAAAATGCACTAAAGTACTACCATGCATGGCTGAAGTGTGCACCTAGCTTTGCAAGACTGATTAGTCCCTATCTGTTCCAGCCAATCCAAATTCTCATTTGTTGTCTCTGGCCCTAACACATTTATAGAGAATCAGGGGGAGAAGTATTGACCAAATTCCAAGGAATCCTGACTGATACCGGCCAACAGTTGATCTTTTCAGTCCCAATGGTCCCATCAGTTGCTTCCAATCAGTAATTTTACTTGTTTCCAGTTGGTCCCAATGATCTTGATAAACCCAACTGACACCTGAATGATCCCAACCTATGAGTATGTTACACACAACAATAACATCCTATCTTACATATGCTCTTTAGGCTATTACTGGTTTTTTGAAGTGCTATTGGGAATGATTCAAGATGTTCCTTATGTTTTTTTGGTTAGTTTGGATTGTGGGGAGTCATTTTTTTTCAGTTGATTAATTGTTAGATACTTGTATATTAGTTATTAGTTATTATTTTTAAGTTGTCCAAAATCTGGATTGATTAGTTTCAAGTGTATTCTATTTCATTATAACTGTAGTGCTAGGCCACTCAAAACCCCATAGAAACATTGTAAAGGCTTAGGGGAACCCAATTGTGTTATCGTGAACTAATGTGACCAGCCCCTTCATTGTGCTGGTTGAACAAATATAATCATCTTATTTTCTTTATTACTTTTCTCTTTCTTCACAGCTAGCAGTCACCTGTAACTCACTCATGCAACCCACATATCTTGTCTATGGCTCGCTATAACCACCGCATATCTGATTTGCAAGTTTTTCTCATCTATTTGTATCTTCTGCAACCAATGAAAATTATCTAAATTCTTTTGATTTCTTCAAGTTATCTTTGATGTCGACTATTTGTTCTTTAAAAAGAACAAGGATCTTGGTATTAGAATCATTGTGTGTCCTTGGGTCTATTGGATGTTTCTCCAAGTTTGTTTGGTTTTTTCTGTTGTCGCCTTGTTATGAAGCATTAATGGTTATGTAGCTAGTTCACCGAAATAGAACAAAAGGGTCTTTCCTAGAGATGTCGTGTGTACTGGGTCTGCCTGGCCTGGTACGGTTTGGGGTAGGCATGACAGTATGACACTGTTGCTGCCATGCTGCCTTCAGCCCAAATTTTATTTGGGCCGAGTCACACCGGACTAGAAATTCAGATCCTTGGCCTATCATGGCTTGTGGCCTGTAGCCTATCCAAAAAATGAAAACAATATAAACAAATTGGTATTTATTTGAAGTTGAGAACTCACTATACATTCTGGCTTCTAGGTTCACTAACCTGCTAACTGTATTTATAAAAATCAGAAAGCCATCGGGGCATTTCTCCTGGCAAAATGTCTCCAATGCGTAAGTCATAATTGATCAAAAATTAAAAATACATGTAGATTAGAGTTAAAATCCATACCTACAGAATGTCTAGTTGTTGCCCATGGATTTGTTCCGGTCCCTGACGCTCACCCTGATTGATTCTGTATCTCATCCTTGAATCATGCAAATGGCATTATTATAATTTTGTTCCGGTAAACAAAATTGCATTCCTGATTTTCTCTGTAGACATAATGATTCATAATCCATCTTGTTCACATCATGCACATTTAATATTAAAAAACCTAATTAATGATTTTGATTGTTGAATGAGAATGTTTACAGTACCATTATTACTAAATACATTTTTTAATATAAAAGATAGCCATATAGCCTGCATCAGGTCTGCAGCCTGCTAGTCCCACTACAGTAGCAAGATTGTCATGCCAAACCTGCCCTAAATCATGATGAACTTAGGCCGTTTATAGATTGGATCGAGCATATTATACTTGTAATCATTTCATGTAACTACACAAGGTACATAGAGCAAGCTATATGTATAACCATACAGGGTCATCCTCGTACACCTGTTCCCATCATCAAATACATACACAGACATTTATATATGTTGATCCCAAGTTATTCTTAGTTGCTTACTCATAGGAATAAAAAGAAAAAGGATGGCACGATACATGAATCCCCTACCATTCTGGGTTCTAATTACGGAGCTACAAATGAGTGGCAAAAAAATTCCTTAGGTTGCTGAAATGGGGAGAGTTAACTTAGAAAGCAATTCTAAGATTTGAGTTGGTTGCATAGTAATGTTATCTATGATACTGGTTAATTCCTTGAACCATCAGTCTTATCTTTAACATGAAACTCTGGTTTGATCCTGTACTTGGTAGCTTGATCTGGATGCAACTTCTAACTTTCTCACTCGTTTGTGCATGTAAACTTATTCCATCAACTTGGTTCTTTGAAATCCTTGATGAATCCTAGGATAGAATTTCATGCAATATCCTTGCCTTTTTAGTTTTCTGATAGAATTTTATGTTCAAATACATGTTGACTCTATGTAGTTCTATGTCTGCAGCTAGAAGATGCTCGTATCATTTAAGGTACAGTTTTGGCGACTCTTCCTCCTGGTACCGCTGATCCTCCAAGCATCAATCTAGACTCACATCCTTGGTGCATTATGTTAAAATTAAAAATGAACTTCTTGATGAGCAGCTTTGAAATGATGTTTGGGACTTTAGTAGTGTGATTATTCTCCTGAGAAAACTTTTAGCTAAGTTACTCATCAATTATGCTCTACAATCAGTCATGGAAATGTTGTCATGTTTTTTATCATGGTGTCAAAGCTGCATACGGACGGTAATGCAGGTTTACTGAAAACTGATAAACGGGCCACAGCCTGTTGGCTCGTAGCGCTGGTCAAGGCACACGACCCACGGGAATGAAATGTTTGATTTGATTGTTATTAATCACTGTTTTGTTGTCTTTTTCCTGTTGTAGGGTGATTCCCAAGTCATTGCATATATATGTGTCAGCTATATTTTTTGTTCTTGTTGTAACTGCTTGGTAGGTTAGGCCATACCCGAGTCAATTTCTTAGACTTGGCACTGATTGGAGGATTTTGAAACAATTTCCTCCATTGTACATTTGTTCTCATGCCATAATGAAATGCTGATTCCTCTTTTCCAAAATCTCTCTTGATGTTTTCTGGTTGAGTCTCGAAAGGATAGATTGTGTTAGATGATGCTGATCTTTCATGCACCCGTTACAATATGTTTTCTGGAGAAGAGTATATACCTAAGCTTTTTTTCTTTCAATGCAAAATTGTATCAGGTTGGATGAATGAGTTGTATCATGCAAAAATATTAAAGGATCTACTAGATTGAGGGATGTGTTGAATTAGTTTTTGGTTTCTTGTGGGATTATTATGGAGTTTCTATTAAGAAATTGTATCAGGCTGGATGAATGAGTTGTACCCTGCAAGAGTATGTATAAGCTGTATCATGTAAAAATATTAAAGGATCTACTAGATTGGGGGATGAGTTGAATTAGTTTTTGGTTTCTTGTGGGATTATTATGGAGTTTCTATTAAGATGTTTGCTGTGATGATTGATAAGATGCATGATAGCTATTGTACAATCTGTAATGTTAAGCCTCAAATTCTCATCTGATATGATTCTGAATTAGATGTGATGGTTTGGTGCGTGATACCAATGTATGCTTTCTGACTGTTTCTTGGATTAGTATGTGGCAGAGTCGTACTCGATTAGCCAACTTCGATGGCTCGATTACTATGGGCTCTTACGCCCATGACATCAGAGACACAACCCAGCGGCGCCAACGTGCGTGCTCGTGTTGGCCGTCACCGACTTGCACCGTACGTCCACAATTGCGGCCGGTGGCTTGCTCTTCTCGTAACATCGAACCTCTCTGGGGCCTACCACGCCGAGCTGGTGACGCTGCTGCTGCGTCGACAGATGGGGAACTCGTGAAGCAGCGAGCTCTTACCCGTCACTTATGCTTCGGCCAACCCACGGGCACACCGGGTCCATTTCCTTATAAAGGCATCGCTTCCGCCGGCGAACGCTAGAGCGGTCTCCACTTCCACTCGTCCTCTGGTTGATCCCCTCCTTCCTCGACGTCCACATCGAGGGAGCCGCACTGCCATGGTGACGCTAGTAGTGGCGACTGCCGCCGACCCGGCCTCCGTCGGCCCCGCCTCCTCCTTCCTTGCGATGCCCGGGTGGAACCCTGGCCCTTCCATCGCCGTCCGTTTCGTTCCCTTGCCATGATTGGGAACTTCTCTTTTCGTTCCGTTTCGATCGTTAAATGTACGTGTTGATTCTTGATCTGGGTTCTCTGGCGTGATTTTAGATCGGGATGGAGAGCTTCGCGAACGGGTCGGTGCGCCTGCTGATGCACGAGAGGAGCATCGTGGCCGAGGACGACCTGGACCGCAGGTGGGAGGCGGCCACGGGAGAGCCCGTCGATGAGGTCATCTTCCTCAGCCGCCACACTGCCGTCTCCAACCGCCCCGCGCTTACTGTCCACCCCATCGGTAGTACTACAATCTTTCCTCCCCCGATTTGATACGATCGGTGACCCCGACCGATCCCCCGTTCGCCAGTTCGAGTACTAATGGCTTTCTTTCTTGATTTATTCTCTTTCTCTCTTTGAAGGCGTGCCGCATATACGGGAAGGCGAGCCACTCCCGCAGGGAGGGCGGCCCTGCTGGGCGGGGCCGCCAAACCCCAGGGTCGGCCCGTGGTTACGTCTCATGAAGAAGATTGCCGAAGCCAACGGTCTCATCCCGGAGTTTGAGGTAACTTTCCTTTTTCTTTCTGTTCTACTGTTCTAGGTAGCTATCTCACATTTGATCATCTCGATCGGCCATATTTTGGAATAATCTAATCCATCTATGTCTAATTTTCGTTCACTTGCTTTTGTTCATGTCCTATATTTCTTTTCTTTAGGGCGAAGTTGTTCTCCTGCAATAAGAACGTGAAAATTAAGTCGTTGTACTGAATAAGATTGAGCGATTTTTTTAGAATGTTTATTTCATTTAGTGCAGCTACCAATTTTATACTGCATGGATACTTTCGATGAAAGTATATGTTCCATCCGTAAGTACCATATTAGAAATATTCTTTAAAGAACACTTATGAACCTTAGAGTTGTCAAAAAATATTTCTAAAAGATAAGACAAAACATAATTGGATTATGTTGAATTTGGATCTATGCATTCTTAATTCCTTGGTGTATCCTGCTTTATTTCCTGGGCAACTCAAACACAAGAACAACCTACCTCAAATAACATTCACAAGGATATTCTGTTATTTTGGGAGATAAAAATATCCTTCTCATTTTTGTCTTATATACTTCCTGATTACAAATATAAAATAGATGAGGGGATCATTGGATTAACATCAACAAATCATGATTTCTGTACAAAAATACTTTTGCTAGGAGAGCAAGGAACAGAAAGAGATTGTTTTTCTTGTTTTTGGTGCTTGAACTCCATGTTGCCATCCTGTTTGCTACATTTATTCGAGTAGTGTTATGCTACTAGTGCTTCCTACACACCTAGACATTTAAAAAAAAATTACAGGATAATGTATCATATACTTTATGAGTGATAATTTATGGGATGATGTTGAAAAGGTTATTTGATTGAATAGAAGGGATGGGATGGTGTTGTAAAGGAGTATGTTCATATCATGGGGTGGATGTTTGATAGGGTATCTGACTATCTGTGCATACAAGTCATTTCTCGGGTTATGATTTAAGTTCTTGATGTTTTCTTTCTTTTTGCAGATTACTTTGGAAGCAACTCATCATGGACCAGTGGTTAATACACCCACCATGTTCCTGGAGATTGGTATTGTAATTTCTTCATGATTGTGGATGGATGTAGTAGATGATTGGTTTGGTCAGTCACTTAGCAGGTCATTTTATTAAACAATTACCCTGATGCCAATTACATTAAAGGAATTGAGTTATTAATAACTAACATTTAAAACCTATAAGTTTTTCACATTAGTATTGATTGCCTATGTGGCAAAGAACATAGTCGCTTTATTATAAAAAATGCCCAAGGTTTATCCTAGGTGTTGGGATCAAATCAAAGCTGTGAAATATGAAGGTGTAACTTTTGTTACACGGTTTTGAGCTTGAAATTCAACGATGTTCTGCTGTATTGACTGAGATGTGCCAATGTAGCTGTTGGCTTGTGGCAGTCAGAATAGTCCCAGCATCATTATTTTTTTTAGCACATGGCATGATGGGTAAAATTAAAATATATGGTTATGACAAGTGCAAATGTATGCCGAACGGTCACAAAAAATGATAATCGGAAATTACCAAGATATTGATGAAAGTAGGATTGTGGATATTAAAAGCTTTTTATTGATAGTACAAGAGCCCATCTTTTTTATGCACTCCTGTAATTCTTGTAGGGAGCACAGAGGAATACTGGGGGAGGCAAGATGCTGCTCAAGCTATTGCTTTAGTTAAGTGAGCTTTTATTACCTTAACTATTTCCAAGAAGATTCTCCACATGTAAAAAATTGATTTTAATATTTTGCATAAAAGTTTTCTATGACCATTTCTCGCTACATGATTTTTTTTTTTGAGTAAAATTGACCATTGCAGTGATTACTCATTGTACTTTTTGTATACCATTTTAATTAAAGTTCTGATTGATTCCATCCAAATTTCTAATAGTTCCAAAATAATTTTATCCTGATATTTTGCAGCTTCTCTGGGAAGGACTTGGTCTTGGAGGAGGTTCTGGTGTCGGAAACTGGAGCAGGTACCATATGGTGGTAGTGTACGTTATACAAGTAAAAACTATGTATACGACAATATTGATTACAATCTTTGGGGCCAGAATATTGAAAAGGGCCTTGCTAGGACCAAAATATCTCATATGTTTGCTAGAGACAGGACTTGAGTTTGTATGTCTTGACTCTTGAGGTATATGCATGTAACTTAGGTTTCTTGTGTAACAGATGATAACGCGCAAAAAGTTGCTCATCTTTATCCACTATTTAGATACATGTTAATATGTTATATGCATTAAGTTGAATCTTGAATGTCCTTTGATGCAGAGAAAATAATGGTGACAACGTTCTCTTGGGGATAGGAGGTGGTCATTATGTGCCTCGTCATATGGATATCGTTTGGTAAGCAACAAGACTCTATAATCTTACCATAACATGGTGTTGGAATTTTACAGTGTCTGATCGCATAGAGTTTCTAAAGTTAACCATAATTTCATTTGAATGAGTACCCTTCTGTTATTTCTGTTTGGTTGTGAAGACTGTTATGGCAGAAATCTACAAAGAAGCCTGCTTGCTTTGTTGATATCTGTTCCATCAGACTATATCTAGAGACCTTTAAATTAGTCATACTGCCTTTGACAATTAATGAATTGGTTAGGAAGTATCCTGAAATTAGTTTGATTGGTTAATCTTCAATATGTTCTCTATCATAAATGTAGTTGTCAGTTAATAATGGATTCACAGATCTATTATTTTGTTCAATTTTTTTTGTCAAAATTTTTAACTCATT